TCAAAAACTGTGCTCGGGCCTTTGGCAACTTACTCAACAGGCTCCACTTCGGCATATGCAGCTGCCTGATGGGGATAAACATTCCTAGACCAGATAGGTGTGGTTAGTGTTAAATCAGAAGATGGATGACGCTCCAAACCAAGCTTTATAGAAAGCTTGGTTTTCTATTTTCAGATATCGCCTATAATTATACTCTAAAATTTAAGGCAGGGTGATCGGCTGACCTGCTGAACCCGTCTCTGTATTCTCGACCAATCTGAAGATGCCTCAGTGAACAAACACACCCTGATTGAACCTCTCTGCACTGGCATGAGTAATAGACTCTCAGCTCAAAGGACGTTAGCAAAAGCACTCATAGAGAGCAACTGTCTTTGTGATCATCAGCCAATCAGCAAGCATTTATTGAGAACCTGTGATTCACCCTGCTGTTTCAGGAAGGTTATTCTGGAGGCAAACATAAGATGGGTGAGGGGAGAGAATGAAGATTAAGACATCAGTTCACTCTTTCATGAAATGAGATTTTTCCTGACTCTTGGGAAGGAATATGTAAGTCAAGGAATATTAGAAGTGTTGTTAGTTTTTGCTCCCTGTCTCTCCCCTTTCCATCAATAAATCCAGAAATAATGGTTCCATTTGGGGGACAAGGGCACATGATAGGGGTCCTTCATTCCCTGCAGCCATGCTATCTCACAAGAACTGTCTATAATTAGAAACAAAAACCCAGTTGCACCTGCTGCTCAGCCAGATCTCTGGCTGAGGCTTCCTGCTTGCCAATCAGATCCATCATCTCCTTTCCCAGAAATCACCCCACAGCCCAACCCCTCCTCTTCTACCCTGGCACTATAGGGCTGACTCCTTGAACTTCCTCCACGTACTGACACATCGCCCTTCCCTCCCTCTCCCTCTTGGCTCCATTGTCCCAAGGTCCTTCCTACTTTACCCTTTCTCAAAGGGCCACATAACTGGCCCATTAGGGTTCAACTCGTTCTCAGTTCATGTTCTGAGTATTGCCCCATAGCAGAAAAGAAAAAGGAGATTATTTCCTGTAACTTGGTTTTATAAAAATAGAATGGACTTTATAAAAAGAAGAACAGAACAGGAGCAGTGTTTGTTCACCTAGTAGTTACTCTAATTATAGATGGTTGGGTGCCATGAGTGACCATATGGGGTAACAGGAGTGTTGCATCAGACAGGACATCTCATTTCCACCTTCCCCTGTGAATGCCCTGTGCATGCCCTAATCAGCATTTTAAAATTACAACCTGATTGTTACACAAATAAGAAGTCTCTCCATTAGATGAATCGTGGCCTGCAATTTTGTATTACCAAACATGTTTTTAATTCCCAGAGCCCAGCTTTATTCTCCCAGATTTTGCTGACTGGTAAGTAACTTACGAGTAAGTTTTCCTAGAAATAATGGAGGTGTTTTTGTTTGTTTGTTTTGTTTTTCAGGGAAAAGATACACATTTAGGAATTTCAGTCGAAAGAGAAAAAGCCAAAATCTTATTCCCATTGGAACAAAGCATTGTTTGCCGCCCCACCTACCCCATTACCTTTTGCTGATGTTATTTAGTAGTGAAGTTGCTGTTGCAAGAACTTGTAAGAATTAGGATGCTCGTGAGCCCAACATTTAAATCAAGAATGTCCTCTCCCACAGAACCCAGAACTAGAATGTTAAAAAAAAAAAAAAAAAAAAAAAAACCAGTCTGACATTAAATGGATTCAGCACCTCTTAAGTTATTTATAACCTCGTCCTTGGCTTTTTATATGAATGGACTTCTGGGAAATTTTTTGAGGGTGGAGCTCTTCAAAGTGGCTGCTTACACCTCTAACAAAAATCACAAACCAGCCCTCCGCAAACCACATCCAGCTAGCTGATGTATTCAGTTTGGCTCACAAGGTACTTTTTGAAAATAAGAATTAGTTTTCATCATTTTTAAAATTTACCTACAAATGCAGGTTTTTACTAAAATAGGCATAGATTTATATAAAAATATAGACTTACGTATTGTCTTGGGAAAAAGGAAGTCAGATGAGGCAGCCCTAGGACGTTATTTCCACGTGGCTGGTGGCATAATGGACCATTAGCCTGGAGAGAAACATATAAGGGGGATCGTTCACAGGAAGGTTGAGGCTGGGAAGGTGACCATTTTTCTCCCATGGCCACATCTCTACATCCAAACCTTAATTCCAGTAAGCATGCAGTTCTGCTGCTAGTGAAAAGTGTCTGAAATGAAATAAATCTTCCTCATTACTTGACTGAAGATCTAGTTTCTAAAAGCAACTCAACAGGCTTCCCCTTCGCAACCATGAAACCAGCTTTGACCCTTCCCTCTTCTTCCCTGCCCCTCCCCCTTCCCCATTAGTTGCTATGCCTGTCATTTAGTCCCTCAAGAGTCTACTGAGAATAAAGTAGCCACCAGCTACATGAACACTTAACATGTGGCTCATGTGAACTGAGATATGCTGTAAGTAAAAAACACACACCAGATTTTCAATATTTAGTTCTAAAAACATTAAAATCTAAGGCCAGGCATGGTGGCTCACGCCTGTAATCCCAGCACTTTGGGAGGCCGAGGTGGGTGGATCACCAGGTCAGGAGTTTGAGATCAGCGTGGCCAATATGGTGAAATCTCATCTGTACTAAAAATACAAAAATTAGCTGGGCATGGTGGCGGGCGCCTGTAGTCCCAGCTGCTCAGGAGACTAAGGCAGGAGAATGGCTTGAACCCACCTGTAGCCTGTAGTCTCAGCTGCTCAGGAGGCTGAGGCAAGAGAATCGCTTGAACCCGGGAGGCAGAGGTTGCAGTGAGCCTGGTGACAGAGCAAGACTCTGTCTCAAAAAAAAAAAAGAAAGAAAGAAAGAAAGAAAATTAAAACCTGAATTAACTGATCAGTAACTTTATATTGATTATCTTTATATTGAAATGATATTTTGGATATATTAGATTAAATAAATGATATTATTCAAATTAATTTGCCTATTTCTTTTTACCTTCTTAAATGTATCTTCTAGAAAATTGAAATTTACATGTGGAGTTCACATTTGGGGCTCATTTTATCTATTGGTCAGCATTGCCTGAAAACAACTCCATGATTTGGTCTAATTTTCTGGCCTTGTTTTCATCACTTTAGCCTAGTCTCTCCTGTCCCTTTACTTCCAGAATTTCACATTAGTCCCCTAAAGACTTCTAGGTCTTTTCCCACTTCTAATTTGTTCTGCACACCCTGGCCAACTTTATCTGACAAAGACACTGCTTTTATCACGAAACACTCCTGCTCAAAAACTAACACCAGCTCCCACATCTACCCCATAAAGTCCAGACTCTTAATAAAACAAACTGATAATAACAGCTTACACTTTAAAAACTTTATGGTATGCTTCATGTAATTCTCCAAACAATTTAGCACCTAGCATGCCAGATTCTAGGTTTTCTAACCAGGACAGAAATGACTGCAGCGTTTGACAGAGCTGGAAGGTGGGGGGGAAGCAGCTTTGATCTGAGAGGTTACAAAAATGGCACGAAGTATCTAAACAGCAGTTCCATTCACTTCTGAGAGTTTATACAACACCTCACAATCAGCCAAAGAGCAATAACATCTCTGAGTCTATGAGCTGAACTATTTTTTACATCAGTGGAGAGAAAAAAAATAAAGTTGAGAAAAGAAACTGTTACATTTGCATCTCAGAAAACACAAACCGGAAATCCAACCAGAAAGGTTTAGGTGAAACAGTGCCCTTTGCTCATCTATTCTAGGTCCAAGATTAAAAATATACATATATATATATATGGCTTTGTCATAAACTAGGTATTAAAAGTGGGAAATGGGAAAAATCGCAATTACTTTTGCACCAACCTAATAAATTTGAATTATGCTGATTTGAGACACTGTCATATAACAATAATTAAAATATCATCTCAAAATTTGAAAACGATGAATTAAAAATCCATCAGCAATTATACAATCCAAAGCTGGCAGAGCGCCTGATTCATAAACCGTATTGACAATAATTCCACATGGAAATATGTACAGTACTTAGCTTGAAAAAAGAGATCCTTTGTCAAGGTTTATCTCGAATTATGTGAGTTTTGAATTGTGCTATGTCTTCCAGACTTTACCCCTTTCATAAACTACACTGCCCTACACACTCTTTCATTTTCTTTTCAGCTACGGATCGGATAGGTCTTGCCAAATAACTGTTTAGCAGTTATTTAGTGCACAGGTCTTGAAAGCAAATACACATTCTACCATTTATTGTTACTTTAGACAAATTGTGTAGCTTTGGAGCTTCAGTTGCCTCTTCTGTATATTGAGCACAATCATACTTTCCACACAAGTTTTATAAGAATTCAACAAGATGACATACATAGTATGGCGCTTGGCAAGTAGTGAGGTTCTCAACCGCTCGGCAATGGACAAGATAACTTGCCATCTCTCTGGCTGAGGCAGCCCCATTTCAGGAGCTTCTCTCAATGCAGCTTGAGGACTCTACAAAAGGGTGGGGCTTTGGAGTCTAACCCTCTCTGCTAAACTCTGTAAGTTTAACAGGCAGAGTTACACATGTCAAGGGGTCTGGGCGGGGTGGGAACTAGCGCGTCCTCCTGCCCCGCTTGCGGCGGCCCGGACGCAGTTGCCGGACTGAAACCAGCAGGTCTGGCTCCAGCCGCATTCATTCTTCCCTCTCCCTCCCAGCTGGGCGGCTCCGGCAATGAAAACACCACCACGTGGGCCTGCTGCCTTTGCGTCACGCGCCTTTGTCCAATGGAAAGCCGCGTTACGAAGCCAGGGGCGGGTCGCCAGGGTGGATCCGCCCACAGCCGTCACGGATTGGCCAAGGAGGCGGTGTCCGCCCGCCGTGGCTTGGGCTCGTGGCCAATGGTGACCGGAGGCAGGGGGCCCGCCCTGTCAGGTGCTCTGGTCCTCGGGACCCGCTCGAGAGGCAAGGAGGGGCGGAGCGAGGCCGGGGACGGGGCGGGGACGGGGCGGGACAGGACCGGCGACCCGGCCCGTGGAGCCGGCGCGGGCGGGCTGCTGAGGTGGCTGTCGCCGGCTCCGAGCTGCGGCTTCCCGGGCCGAGCCCCCGATGGAGGCCGAGGCCGCGGACGCTCCCCCGGGTGGGGTCGAGTCGGCGCTCAGCTGCTTCTCTTTCAACCAGGACTGCACGTAAGTCGCGACGCGGCCCCTGCCAGGGAGGTGGGGGACAGAGTGTCAGGACCCAGGGGTGTCGTCCTGAGCGCAACTTGTGGCCTGCGCCTCGAGGCAGCCTCGGCGGGAGGGCGGGTGGCTGCTTCGGACGCGTTGGGATCTTGTTATCCCCTTACGCCTGCAGTGGGGTTTGCCGCACCCCACTCCACTCCCAGTGTCCTCCGAGAGCCAGAAGGTTGGGCCAGGGGTGAAAGCAGGGAGTTCGCAAAGGGAGTGGTGGGGCAGCGGGGGCCACGAAATATGGGGGGAGCAGGGCAGTGGGAAAGCCAGTGACCAAAGTGGGTGTCTGGGGAAGAGAGACGGTGGCCACAAAAAGATGAGAAAGGAGAGGAAGTTGCAAGTTGATCCAGGACTCTGTAGTTGGGGCCCAGGAAGATGAGAGTACTGGAAAAACTTTCCCATTTGTCCTTGAGCATCTCAACGTGGCATCTGGGCAGGGCCTCAAGCGAAGAGGCAGCCTATCCCTGCGGCCAGGCCAGCCCCTGCCCCAACCCCAGCGCAGGGCATCGTGCCTGCCCGCTCTGGATGGAAGAAACCTTTGGATTTCTTTGGCTGTTTTCACATCGCCCACCCAGCCAGGCAGGATCTCCTTCTCGGAGTCCAAGACTCTTTTCCCGGGCGCAGACTGCTTTCTCTCCAGGAAACAGGAGCTCCACCCTGTTGTTTTTGAGTGGATGTTTAATGTTTTACTTTGATGTTCACATTTGGGCTTTGGGGAGGGAGCTGGGACTTGAAGTGTGTTTCAGGCATCTGCAGGATTCTGTGACTTAGAGGCAAACGCGTGTTTCTTTCCCTATTTTCATGGAAGCCAGCCCTGGGGACCATATGGAATCATCTTTTTGGAATGTGCACCCAGAGCATCAGGCGGGGATGACCGATTCCCAGTTTCCCACTTCCTGCTGTACCAGTTTCTGTGCCTTGGCTGCTGGTGACTGAGCTATGCTAATATTGATCCTTCAGTAGTGTAATTAAGGCCATTATGTACCATTAGCCACCCTGGCTTCCATTCCCTTTGTGTTTCTGTTTAAAAACACCCGGTGCTGCAATATGCCTTTGTTTGAAAAAACCATATGTGTAATCATGTAATCGAGTAGCTCTACAGCTTGGTTATTTGAGTGACTTTCAAGTTTTTCTTGACCACAATCCGCAATAAGAAATACATATTGCAACATCACCCAATACCCATAACACATACACTATTCACAAAATATCATGTGCAAATTTTCTATGTCGTTTTTTTCTAAGCTGCTTGTGACTCACTGAATTGCGTTTTAGGATCCACTCATGAGTTGAGACCTGCCGTTTATAAAAGTGCTGGTATAGATAAAATCCTGATGTTTTGTAAGAAACATTTTGCAAGAGGGCATGGCTGTTGAAATGCCTGGGTGATGTTTTCCTTCCCAATTGAACACAAGTTAAGAAGGGGGGTTAGTTTGCTTATAAGTAGTAAATGTTCTAAATTCTGCTTTGTAACATTATTAGATTTGAAAAAAAAAAGGGTGTTAATTTATATTCTAGTCATTAAATAATGCAAAGTCCCAGCTTTCTACAGCAATTGAATGTTATTATCAAAACTGTAGGGTGCTTTGAAAGTTAATTTCCTTACTCCCTACTGTTAGTTTTATTTTCTTGGATGGAGGCTCTGCTGGGCAGCTTTGCCTTGCCTATAAATAAAAGTTCTTGTCACAGTCAGTTGCTTTGAGCCACAGAGGGTATGACATTGGATTTTAAAATAAGTCAATTCACCTGAATATATTTAGGTATATTGCCATGTCTTTTTCTATAAATGCAGGCTGAATTTGGGATCCAGTATTTCCAAAGAAGGTAGGTGAAAACAGCAAACGCTTACCAGTCCCCTATGCTTATACTTCGTGCTTGGTACCATGCTATACACTTTGGGTACTTTTTTTTTTTTTTTTTTGACAGAGTCTTGCTTTGTCACCCAGGCTGGAGTGCAGTGGTTGTGATCTTGGCTCAGTGCTGCCTCTGCCTCCCAGGGTTCAAGCGATTCTCCCGTCTCAGCCTCCCAAGTAGCTAGGATTATAAACGTGTACCACCACGCCCAGCTAATTTTTTGTTTTTTTAGTAGAGATGGAATTTTGCCCTATTGCCCAGGTTGGTCTCGAACTCCTGACCTCAAGTGATCCACCCACCTCAGCCTCCCAAAATGCCGGGATTACAGGTGTGACCCACTGTGCCCAGCCTACTTTGAGTACATTTTACATTTGATTAGTGATAAATATTGTCCCCAGCTCTGTTTCCGTGAGTGGTGATTAGAATTTTGTTTCTACAGAAAGACTTTATGGACGAAATAAGGTTTAAGTCTAAATTTCTTGATTCAGAGTCTTTCGTGGCCATTGATCAATCATCTAAAATACCACATAAAACATCACTCTGCAATTTTCTCATATGTAGAATTCTTCTGGTCCAGGAGCAGGGCTTATGTTTGAAAATTACTTTAAATTGCTGCCACTTTGCATTACTGTTATAAGACTCTAGTTACAGTATTTCTTTCCTTACTTGCAAACTTTACAAACCTCAATTTGCAGCCAAACACATCTATATTTATGTGAAAAAGTTTATGTGAAGAAAGTTTAAAAACAATAATCACTACAAAATACTTTTTGAAGTTTTAAGATGCTCCGGGCTTACTTTTCCAGTTGCTGTTTGGCATCATGAATACCTTAATCTGGGTACTAAATGCCAGTTCTAAGTGCACAACTGCAAATGTCTAACCCACCAGTTTAGCTACTTAGCAGGCTGGAGGTCTGCGAGCCGTCACCAGCTACCTTGTGGATTAAAAGTTTACTGTAGTTGCCCTATCCCTGTGTCCCAGGGAAGAACAAGTGTTTGGGTAGGGAAAAAACAATTCCAGGGAAAATCATGTGACCTTCTCTTTTTTAGGCTAGTGAAACAAGAGCCTTGGCCATCCAGGCTTGTAGTAGTAAGTTGCTTATTTTAGTATATGCTTCCCTGTAATGAGTGAATCTCACTTTGGCTTTCAGAGAAGCACACTGCTGTGAGCGTGCTCCAGGTCAGATTCTGTTCATCACTTAGGTGCGGAGGGCGCAGCTGGAAAGAGCTGGGTGGGGATTCCCAGCTGCTGAACAAAGTTGACTTTGATGTTTACTTTCAACACAAGGCCAAGAAAATCTGGATTCATGTCCTATCTTTATCTCCTCATTGAAAAATGAAAAATTAAGAAAACCAGATTTTTTAAAAAGGCACTTTGTCCCAGATAAATGTTTAGTTTTTATTTTGTTTGTTGGTTGGTTGTGATGATTGCTTTGTAGGACATAGTAGAAAGCAGAGTTCTCCAACTTTGGCTGCTTATTAGAGTACTTGAACTTAAAAGAAAATCCAATTAAACTTCCCAGCTGAGTTTAATGTACATCCAGGTGTGAGAGCTACTAGTATCAAGTATCGGGACAATTTTCTGGAAACTGATGAAAGGAAGAATCTATTAAATTTTACCTACTAATGATCCACTATGCCTACTGTGAAAGTGTTTCTTAGGCCAGGTGCGGTGGCTCACGCCTGTAATCTCAGCACTTTGGGAGGCCGAGGCAGGTGGATTACTTGAGGCCAGGAGTTTGAGATCAGCCTAGTCAACATGGTGAAACTCTGTCTCTACTAAAAATACAAAAATTAGCCAGGCATGGTGGTGCATGCATGTGATCCTCACTGCTTGGGAGGCTAAGGCAGAAGAATTGCTTGAACCCAGGAGGCAGAGGTTGTAGTGAGCCGTGATGGTGCCACTGCACTCTAGCCCAGGTGACAGAGCGAGACTCCATCTCAAAAAAAGAAAGAAAGAGAGAAAGCGAGAAAGAGAGAGAGAAAAAGGAAGGAAGGAAGGAAGGGAGGAAGGAAGGAAGGAGGGAGGGAGGGAGGGAAGGAAGGAAGGAAGGAAGGAAGGAAGAAGGGAGGGAAGGAAGGAAGGAGTATTTCTTCTTATAAGCAACAAACAGAGTTATGAAGAAAAGAAAAAATGATTTATCTGGTAAAGTGCCTCTCAGACAACAAGAAGACCCCTTTGTTGTGTTGGAGGTAGAGCTTTGAGCTATTATGAATATTCTTAAACATTCCAGTTTTCCTATTATCTGCCCAATTGGAAAAATATGTCTGGTAGCTTTGACATTTTGTTGGATGACAGAACTTACGCCGTTTCATGTCCCTTGACCATTTCACTTTTTTTTTTAAGTTGCCTTTGACTTTTTTTTCTTTTCTTTTACTCTTCCTGCCTGTCAAGGCATGCTCACCATTTAGGAAGTTATCAAGGATCTAAGCTCCTGCAGATGCTTGTTTACCTGTACCCCTGAGGCTAGGGGGCAAAAGGTATCTATTTTCAGACAGATCTGTTGTTAGAATACCTGTCGTCATTCCCATGCTGTCATTATCCTCCACAGGTCCCTAGCAATTGGAACTAAAGCCGGGTATAAGCTGTTTTCTCTGAGTTCTGTGGAGCAGCTGGATCAAGTCCACGGAAGCAGTAAGTGTGTGTGAGAGAGACCCCAGGGATCTGCAGGACAACCAGAGCCTCTTCTAGGCTTTATTCTGAGGTGCTACCAAGCAGCCTATTTTTCCCTTCCTTAACCGTCAAACTTAGGGAAGTCAAGATTTTTCAGATTTAAATATAAATCATTGCCACCACTTGCTTTAAAACCACAGGCACTTAGTAAGATCTGGCAACAGTTTAAGTAACATTTTCTTTTTATATGAATAAATTATTTGTGTGAAATCATATTACTGAGACTTTTTCACATGCTTATATGCACAGTCATTAATTTTTATCGTTGTCAAACCTAAAGAACACTTGTGACATTTTCTTTTCTTTTTTTTTTTTTGAGACGGAGTCTTGCTCTGTCACCTGGCTGGAGTGCAGTGGCACGATCTTGGCTCACTGCAACCTCCACCTCCTGGGTTCAAGTGATTCTCTTGCCTCAGCCTCCCAAGTAGCTGAGATTACAGGCACATGCCACCAAACCCAGCTAATTTTTATATTTTTAGTAGAGATGGAGTTTTACCATGTTGGCCAGGCTCATTTCCAACTCCTGACCTCGAGTGACCTGCCCACTTCGGCCTCCCAAAGTCCTGGGATTACAGGCATGAGCCGCCTCACCCAGCCACTTGTGACTTATTTTTGCCGTTATATTGGCACCATAAGATACTGATAACATTCATTCAGCTATGGAAGTATCTGTTTGAAGAAGGCAACAGTATCCTGTTTACATAGCCCATGTCAATGATGTTGAAGCACATCCAGTGAACACTGTAAATAATTCACTAGAAATGTCACTTCCTTATTTTTTCAGGCTGATAGTTTATGCCATCATAATAGCAAACAATATACAATCTTTCAGTTTCCTGGAAAGAAAGTGGTTCAGTAAATAATATTTTGGACTCCTACTTTATTTGTAAGATGTTATTTTTATTATACCATTCTTGTGAATTTTTTGCTCTATGTCTGTCCCACATTGTTCCCTGTGGGCCTTGTCCAAGTGAAAGAAAGGTACACATATGAAAAGAACATGCTCAGAAAGACACCAAAGCCGTAACCTTTGTGCTCAGGAGGGTCATTAACTAACTTCCTGAGTACAGAAGTACGTTCCTCATCATAATACTGATGTCCAGCTTATTTTCAGCAGGAAAGAGATCCGGGGAGCACAGCAAGATAGGGGGTGGGGGGAGTACAGATTGAACTCTGTTACTGTCCCCTCCCATGTCAGCACCCCTCTAGCAGGACAAGGAGAATTCTGAAGCAGAGGTTCTCAACTGAGAAGTCACACCTTTGAAATCTCTCAGGGAAAGGGTAGATGAAAATTGTTCAAACATTCCAAACATGTTTGACAGAGCAAACGGTGGAGCCCTAAGGTCTGGAGGGAGATTCTTCCACTCAGACAGCATCAGAGACAGCTGTCTGCCTTTGCTCTGACTTTACAGTCTAGTCACTAGTGTCTTCTTTTTCTTTTCTTGAGACGGAATCTTGCTTGTCGCCCAGGCTGGAGTGCAGTGGCGTGATCTCGGCTCACTGCAACCTCTTCCTGCCGGGTTCAGGTGACTCTCATGCCTCAGCCTCCCGAGTAGCTGGGATTACAAGTGTGCACCACCACACCTGGCTAATTTTTAAACTATTTTTAGTAGAGATGGGGTTTGGCCATGTTGGCCAGGCTGGGCTTGAACTCCTGGCCTCAAGTGATTCTCCTGCCTCAGCCTCCCAAAGTGCTGGGATTATAGGCGTGAGCCACCAGGCCAGGCCACTAGTGTTTTCTTCACTTTAGATATTTGGAAAGGACTCTGAAAGTGCTCCCTGGGAGAGGGTAAGAAGTCACCTGGCAGGGTGGGGGGCATGGCGGATCACTGTCAATGCAAGCTCAGAGAGGGCGCCTGGCTGGCAAGACCTGGAGAACCTTTGGAACCTGGCCTGCACCAGGCCCAGTGTCATGGAGGCTGGAATCCTTCTTGGAAGTGATCCATCCATGTAACCTCCTGGCCACTTTTCCTCCCAGATGAAATCCCGGACGTCTACATCGTGGAGCGCCTCTTCTCCAGCAGCCTGGTGGTGGTAGTCAGTCACACAAAACCACGGCAAATGAACGTGTATCACTTCAAGAAAGGCACAGAGATCTGTAATTACAGCTACTCCAGCAACATCTTGTCCATAAGGCTGAACCGGCAGGTGAGTGGGGGAAATCCCTCAGGGTTTCAAAGCTTCTGCTAACAGGAGCCAAACAAAAAAGATGAACATCTTCCAAGATCAATGTCTTTAAAACAAGCTTCCAATTCTAATGAGAATTTTAACACTCAGGCCCCGTGTCCTGGGGGTATTGTAAACAGAGCCTACTCCAGGTGCTGGTTATAACGTTGTCTTCCCTGGACCTCTGGCTTATGTTTCCAGAACGTTGGTCCCTGACTCGTAGGCTGCACCCTCTCCTTAGGGTGCAGGTTGGGCACCGCAGGGATGGGTCAGAGCTCTGGGTTGAACAGTCCCATGAGCCACCGCAGGGGCATCTTAAATCAGAGGAGCGACTCTTCTGGTTTTGCCCCAGATAGTGGCATTCACTGCAGATGGTGGGGCAATACCACCAAGCAGGAGACGCCTGAGAGTGAAGTCGGGGCTCCCTGGGTCAGGAAAACCGCCCTTCTCCCACCTCGTCCTCAGCTCTCCTGGAAGGCCCACTATTCCGCCTTGGGTTCTCGTTTTTCTTTTTCCCAGCTAACCCTTGAAGACTTCTTCTGTTTTGTAGCATTTTCCTTGTTGAAGGATTATTCTGATCTCAAATAGGCCATACATTCTCTTTTAAAATATAAATTCTTATTCAGTAACTACTGGGGGTGTTAGCAGATTTCCTTTTGAATTGCTGGGTTTTTGTTTTGGGTTGTTGTTTTTGTTTTTGAGACAGGGTCTTGCTCTGTTACCCAGGCTGGAATGCAGTAGCACGATCGTGGCTCACTGCAGCCTCCATCTCCCAGGCTCAAGCAATCCTCCCACCTCAACCTCCTGAGTAGCTGGGACTACAGGTGGGCACCACCACGCCTAGCTAATTTTTTTTTTGTATTTTTTTATAGCGACAGAGTGTATTCATCTGTTCTCACATTGCTATAAAGAACTACCTGAGACTGGGTAATTTATAAAGAAAAGAGGTTTAATTGGCTCTAGGTTCTGTAGGCGGTACAGGAAGCATGGCGGCATCTGCTTCTGGGGAGGGCTCAGGGAGCTTTGACTCACGGCAGAAGGCAAAGCGGGAGCAGGCGTCTTACGTGGCAGGAGCAGGACCAAGAGATGGGTGGGGGGTGCTACCCACTTTTAAACCACCAGGTCTTGTGAGAACTCACACTCACTCTACAGTACCAAGGGGGGTGATGGTGCTAAACCATTCATAAGAACTCTGCCCCACCTCCTCCAACACTGAAGATTACAATTCGACATGAGATTTGGGGAGGGACATCGATCCGAACCATGTTACAGTGTTTCCCCATGTTGCCCAGTCTGGTCTCAAACTCCTGGGCTCAAGGATCCTCCTTGGCCTCCCAGAGTGCTGGAATTACAGGCATGAACCACCATACCTGATCAAATTACTGTGAGGACAGGGACTGTCTTGGTGTGTTCACTATTATAAGACCTGGTAGAAAAGACAGTAGATACGTGCTCATAAATATCTATTTCCTGACTGACTGTTAAATAAGTAAATCAACAAAGAGATTCTTTGTGTGACCATGCAGATTTATCTATGCGATTAAGTATTCCCAGAGTGGTTGCTGCATTCATTGAGGACAATGTTTTCTTCTGTCTTTGTATCTGAACCCTTACGTACTAATTATTTTTTTAACAAATGAGACAAATAAATGCTCTTTAAATTTATGAGAAGGAAGGGATTGTTTCTTTGAGTTGAGCAGCTCTTTCCAATGAAAATCCACATAAGCCCATCTAAAGCAGTGCAGTGAAAAATAGCTGGAGAAAGAGAAGTGAGGCCTTTTAAGTAGGGAGTAGCAGGAGTAAGAAAGAAAAGAAACCCGCGTTCTTGGCAAGGAGGGAAGGGCAGTTTGAGAGTTTTCTACTTGAAGGCTTTTAGAGAAAATTCTTGACTCAAGTGTTTTCTTTGAAATCTGTTGGTAGCAGATTAAGTTCCGCTGCTAAACTTTTTATCCTTGCATATAATAGTAATCCGTATATAAGGTTAAATGTCTGTTTTTGGTACCTGATGATCTTTTTAAGATTGTTTAGGCAAATGATCTATAAAGACCGGAGCCCTCAAATCACATCTGTTGTATTTGCTTATACGATTTCTCTCTTTCTGTCTGGTATATTCAGTAGCAAATGGGACAAGGAAGGCCTATTTGAGTGTCCAAGTCTGTTAACCTTTAGGTGCCAGCCTCCCCTTAATATAATACTCATTAACTGTGAGGTTCTCCTCCCCCACCTTCTAAAGAACCCTGATGCACCAGCAACTGTCAGCAATTCATGGCAAAGCCATGAACCAAGATCTAACAGTTCTCGGAACCAAGATCTAACATCAGAACCAAGATGAACATCAGTTCATCGGAACCAAGATCTAACAGTTCTCCCTTCCTTTAGCATTTCTTCTCCGACAAGAATGACTTGAAGGAGGTCTGGGAAGTATTGGGGGTTTGCTTTTCTGAAAACTTTCAGGTTTGGGACTTAACTTTTGGCTTAAGCAACTCAGCTGCTGCAGTCTCTCTTGCCAGGTAGGGATTCTGCGGTGTCCGGCAGGACTGCCCACTCTGGGGAAATGATAAAGGCCCAAGGGCAGTGTGTCTTGCTCTGTAACACTCAGTCTGATACTTCCTCAGGCCTTTAGACAGCACAGTTTCTTTTTTTTAAAAAAAAAAAAAAAAAGGAAAAAATTGAAGATTTGTATAAGGAGTTATAAGGATCCAAAATCCCCCTTTTATCTTTTTTTTTTTTTTTTTTTGAGATGGAGTCTCACTCTGTTGCCCAGGCTGGAGTGCAGTCTCAGCTTACTGCAACCTCCACCTCCTGCCTCAGCCTCCCAAGTAGCTGGGACTACAGGCACCCACCACCACGCCCGGCTACTTTTTTTGTATTTTTAGTAGAGATGGGGTTTCACCATGTTAGCCAGGCTGGTCTCGATCTCCTGACCTCATGATCCACCCACCTCAGCCTCCCAAAGTGTGGGGATTACAGGCGTGAGCCACCACGCCCAGCCCCAAATCCCTTTTTTCTAAGTATATAGAAAGGAAAGGGCCAAGTGTGGTACCAGCATTTCAGGAGGCTGAGGCAGGAGGATCGCTTGAGCCCAGGAGTTTGAGACCAGCTTGGACAACGTAACAAGACCTAGTCTTTACTAGGTCTTTACTATAAAAATAAATTAGCTGGGCATGGTGGCATGTGCCCGTAGGCCTAGCTACTTGGGAGGCTGAGGCAGGAGGATCGTTTAAGCCCAAGAGTTGAAGGCTGCAGTGAGCTACGATCATGCTGCTGCATTCCAGCCTGGGTGACACAGCAAGACCCTGTCTCTATAAAAAATAAAAACTTAAAAATGTGAAAAAGGAAGAACACTTAGGAATTGTCATACATTTCATTTTTAGTTAATGTTATTTCTCTTGCATTGAACTGAGGAAATATATTTTATGGAATAAAGACAATAAACCAGGTGTATGGTGCACACTTTTACAGTTCTTTTGCAATCTGCTCCCAGGGACCCTTGCTATCCAGATGGAGGCTGATTGGCTTAAATCCTCTGAGGCCAAATCTATGGTGTTCTAGGGCAGATGCTATAAATATTTGGTAATTGATAAAAGGACTTATTACTTATAAAACCTAGAAAAGTGGATGAAAGTCAAAGCAACAGACAAGGAGCTGAGTTGAAGGCAAGGCCATGGTTCTGGAGGGGCTGAAAACTGATGGTTAAAAAAGCAATTAGCAGCATCGTGCCCACCCCAGAAGCACGCTGTCACACAAACTAAGACACAGTGCATCCTCGTCCCCTCCCAGTGTTTTCTCTCTGTTTCCCTCTGCGTTTAGTCTTATCTGCAGCCAGCATGAGGGTGACCTGAAATTCAGCTGAGTGGGCCGCAGAGCAGATGGTGCCATCAGAGCTCGTGGGAAAAAAATGCAGATCAGATCAGATGGGCTAGATGTAGACGCTGTTCCTATGAGAGGCATATGTCGAGGCCCCCTATCCCGGGGATTGGCTGTTGGGCTGGGAGGGGACACAAGAGGCTATCAGAAACCTCAGAACAGAAGCAAGCATAGAACCACATAGTTCAAACCACGGCATGTGCTGGCAAAAGGCACAGGGAGTGGATAAGTCAGAGAATATTTCACGGCGGAACACTCATATTTATCATCAATTTTGAGACCCTGTTAGAAATTTTTTTAACCCTCAACCCCCAGTCTCAGACCTATGACAGAGCCTTAAGTAAAACTGAGAAAGGGCGGAGCACAGTGGCTCATGCTTGTAATCCCAGCACTTTGGGAGGCCGAGACAGGAGGATCTCTTGAGCTCAGGACGGTAGAGACCAGCCTGGACAACATAGTGAAACCCAGGTCTCTACAAAAAATACCAAAAATTTAGCCAGGCATGGTGGCGCACACCTGTAGTCCCAGCTACCCGAGAGGCTGGGGTGGGAAAATGAACTGAGCCCCGGAGGTCGAGGCTACAGTGAGCTATAATCCTGCCACTGCACTGCAGCCTGGGTGACAGAACGAGACCCTGTCTCAAAAAAACAAAAAACAAAAAATTGAGGAAGGTGTTTAACTTTTACTTTTCTGCTTGGTTAACACTGATGACCTTCATCATTCTGAGCCATGGAGAGTCTTCCTGGGGGAACAGCAGGGCAGGCTTTTCCCAGGAGCAGAGCCTGTCTCTTTTGTGTGGTATTTTTTGGTACCTTCCCTTCCAGCTGAGGTTCCCTGGAATAAAAGGAGCTGGCTGAGAGCAGTGGTTCTCGAGCCTCAGTGTGCATCGCAATCACCTGGGTGTTCGTCTAAAAACTTCCCAAACCGGAATCTCCCGGGAGAGCCCAGGGCTGGCTCCTTGGGCAATTCTGGTGCTCATCCAGGTCTGAGAAACACTGGCCTGGGGGAAGCCAAGCCAGGCATGTGCAGGGGTGGTCGGCAGCTGCTCAGATGTTCAAGGAGCTGCCTGACCAGAAATGCCTTCCTGACACGTCCTCACTAGCACCGAAGTCTGCCCTTGTACTGGCTACGCATTATATTCCTTTAAACACTCAAGACATCAACCCTGTGGCCTGTTTTCACTTAGCTGAGAGCACAGCCATGGGAAGAGGCTCTGAACCTGACAAGCTTTGATTTGGAGAAGAAGAGAAGGGTCTGACAGCAGTGGGGAGAGCAAGCACCCGAGAGAGGAGCCCAGGGAGGACAACAGGGACGTGGGACACTGGGGTGTTCACATGAGGGCTGAAGCCCTTCTCCTTTTCCCTTTGCCAGGGCTGCAGACAGCAACCCAAAAGCAGGCCTAGAGGAGAGTCTGAGTAGCAAGAAGTTAGAACTGGTAATTATTCTTATTCGGAGAGGGGTAAAACCTAAGATTTGATGATAGACAGAAAGCAAAGAAACCCATTTTTGTACAGGAGGGAGACCTGTGCTATAAACACTGAAAGGCAGCCTGTCAGATGGCCGTGGAAACTAGAGAGGACACATGAAATTGCCTTACATGGCACAGGGGGTCTGATCAGAAAGTGTGCAGAAGTCCTGCCGAACGCGGTGGCTCAGGCCTGTAATCCCAGCACTTTGGGAGCTCGAGGCAGACCGATCACCTGAGGTCAGGAGTTCAAGACCAGCCTGACCAACATGGTGAAACCCCATCTCTACTAAAAATACAAAATTAGCCAGGCATCGTGGCGCATGCCTGTAATCCCAGCTACTCAGGAGGCTGACGCAGGAGAGTTGTTTGAACCCGGGAGGCAGAGGTTGCAGTGAGCTGAGATCGTGCCACTGCACTCCAGCCTGGGTGACAGAGTGAGACTCTGTCTCAAAAAAAAAAAAAATAAAAAGTGTTCAGGAATCCCTGTTCTAAGGAAGGGAGAGAGGGAGGGAAGCAGGAAGGAGATAAAAGTATAAACAATCTTAATTTCTAATAAAATTTGTTAAGATCTTGCATTTTATGCTTCTATTCAGGTGGATAATTGTGTATGTGTGTACATCCATAAACATAATCTTCAAAATGCATCATCAAAATTCTCCTTTAGGCTTAGCATCAAGTTAGGACTCATATGAAAGATGAATGATTTGGATTTGGTCAGGGCCTTTGTAAGGAACGGTTTGGTAGACTGATAAGTCTGTGTGATTACAGAGGCTGCTGGTTTGCCTAGAAGAGTCCATTTATATTCACAACATTAAAGACATGAAGCTGTTGAAGACCCTCCTGGATATTCCTGCAAACCCAACAGGTGAGCTCCAAAAATGGAATAAATGACCCTCAAATTTCATGTCCAGGTGCTTCTTTCTCAAACTTTATTTTCCTCCAAATTGCAGACCCGAAACAGTGTTTTCGCTTTTTGAGTCTTAGTGAGGTTTATCTCGAAGCTTTGTCTTAATGGTGGCAGATTCAAATTATGTCAGGCTATGTGTTCTGTAAGGGGGCTGTGTGCCCTTCGTGACAGTCCAAGAGTAACAACACCCTTTGTCTGGGATCCACATCAACAAATGTGTCAAGGCACGCAAGGTAGACATGTAAAAGATTTCAAGCATCTGATGTTGAAAGGCATTTACCCCTAATTGTTTTTTGTGGTTCGTTCAGTACAGAGTAGGTGTGATCATTAGAAGCAGGTTTCAACTTGGCGTGTCTGCGTGGCCAGCAAAAAGATAATCTGAACCATAAAGAATGCGTTTTATTATACGGCAAAGAAATCTCTCTACCTTGACGATGTGCTAGGATATTAAATCTTACTGAATTCTTGGGATTTAACACTATTTAATATGTTCCTGGTGTATAAGAAGAGGAATGGTTTGGATTTGTTATATCGAAATAGCAGACGACATTATATGAATGCATCGAGCTAGGAGTAAACAAGAAAGAATTCCTTCGTTGTGTGGTGGGGTGAGGAGTCAGCACACTGGAACAATTTGTACATTTAATGGATTCACATTGGCAGATTATATTTCAGTTTAGTATCATTGAACAACTGCTTCTATTATATTTCAGTTTAGTGTCATTGAATAACTGCTTCCGTTTGCTGTTTCTGAGTTATTTGGCTTTCACTGAATTTCAAGATCTATCTGGGTGCCACTCAAGTCACCTAGACTTTTTGACCCTTGGTTCCCTTATGAATAATATGCATCTCCCAGGGTTGGCTGAGAATTAAAGAAAGTAATGTTTGTGAAAGTGACCAGCACAGGAACCGCCATGCATGAAATACTTCCTATGCCTTCTCTTCATTCCAGTTCTATAAATGACCCTTGGCTGTTGATTTCAGTGCTTTCACATTTCAGCCATGGCAAGGGGATATTTTAAAAGAACAAAGCTAGCCAGGTGCTGTGGCTCACGCCTATAATCGCAGCACATTGGGAGGCCAAGGCAGGTGGATCACCTGAGGTCAGGAGTTCAAGACCAGCATGGCCAACATGGTGAAACCCCATCTCTACTAAAAAAAATACAAAAATTAGCTGGGCATGGTGGCGGGCGCCTGTAATCCGAGCTACTTGGGAGACTGAGACAGGAAAATTGCTTGAACCCAGGAGACGGAGGCTTCAGTGAGCTGAGATTGCACCACTGCACTCTAGCCTGGGCAGTAGAGCAAGACTTTGTCGCAAAAAATAATAAATAAATAAATAAATACATACATAAATACATAAATAAAAGAACAACACCATTGAGGCTGTTAAGGAGTTCTGTGAGATAATGACTTTGAAGCATAATTTCTGAAATGGAAAATGGTATGTGAAGAAGCTATGGGTAGTAAGTTTTTCCCTTAGAAATGAGAGGCTGGAATCACCTGGACAAGTATCTATTGCAGACATTCTTTGTGCCTGGCACCATGGTAGGCACCATTAGTGCCAGGAGCCCCAAATCTAGTTGTCACGGGTTCCCTTCCACAGTCTGTCTGAGGTGGTCTGAGACAGGTGCGCCAGCAGCCTTTGGCAGGGGTGGAACCATGTTTAACTCTGGGGTGCGGACACAGTTGAAGGGAGCATGTGCTCTTCCGATCGGGAGTGAGAGGCCCCTGAATCTGCACGGAGCTTGAGGCTGGCAGGGCCTGAGCTGGGCCTTCACGGATTTGGGGAGGGACGTCGGGCATGCAGAAAGCTAGAAGCTGCCTGTGGCTCTCAGTTTCTCTGAAGAGAGGAGAGTTGCACACAGTAAATGCCACTTACTCCTCACACCTGTCACACACTTGACCCCCAGAGGACGGGGTTGCTTCAGGACTGAGCACCCTCCCTTATAAACAGATGTTTCTCCCCCCCCCCTTTTTTTTTTGAGACAGAGTCTCACTCTGTTGCCCAGGCTGGAGTGAGGTGGTGCAATCTCGGCTCACTGCAACCTCCACCTCCCAGGTTCAAGCGATTCTCCTGCCTCAGCCTCCTGAGTAGCTGGGTCTACAGGTGCCCACCACCACACCCAGCTAATTTTTTGTATTTTTAGTAGAGATGGGGGGTTTCTCCATGTTGGCCAGGCTGGTCTCGAACTCCTGACCTCAGGTGATCCGCCTACCTTAGCCTCCCAAAGTGCTGGAATTACGGGCGTGCACCAGCACACCCAGCCACCATTACTCTTATTATTTAGCAAAAATAGTTGTTTTTCTGTAATTTGGAAAACTCACTGGTTGCCTTACTTTCTGCAGCTTAAACAGAGAGAAAATCAGATTTAAAAGTGCAGGGCTATTTGTGTTCCATGTTAGAGACCGTGTATATTGCTTGTAAAGGGAATCACTTTTATCTCAAGAAAAATTAGAAACAATGGCAGAGACTTTCTCTGTCTCAGATAAAAGAATGCCTCCTTATGAAAGGATCCAGGGATAGGTTGAGTATTTCTTCTGAAAGACCAGGAGCAGGTTGACCAAACTGTGTCTTTTTAGACCTCTGATGTTCTTTGGAGATACAGCCCAAGGTGTTTTAAATGCTACCGTTTGTAATTATCACCTCAACCTCTCCTGACCTCCCTTTCTACTGCAGTAAAGTGGACATGATCATTTTTAGCCTGCAGAGTTGCTACGGAGAGCATTACCTGAGGTCGTGGCCTGGGTGGGCAAAGGTGGGTCCGCCCTGTCCATGCGGGCAGTCAGACTCACTCCCCAGCCAGCTCCGTCCCGTAGGGCAGCCTTGCACAGGTCAGAGCTGTGCTTCAGTGACATGATCAGGTCCTCACTCGGGAACCTTCAGAGGACTCTGTACTGTCAAAATCATGAATATACACTTCCCAGAGGCCAGGAGTCACCTTCTCTGTTCTCATCCTCTAGTTTATTTTCTGAACGAAGAAATAAGATGGAAACTGACTGTTGATTTTATAAATCCTTGCTAGGTACAGAAGGAAGACAGAATCACTTGTCTAATTGTCTTCAGTACAGAAATCCTGAATGCATTTTGACTTCATAAACTACAAATAAATTAGCTACGCAGAGTTCGCCTGTTGCCTCTCACTTGGTATCTAACGCAGCTGTAAATTTCCTTCTTTCTGTCTGTTTGTGTCATGCCCATTCCTGTTGTGTCAGAGATTGCAGGCTATTTCCTTTAAAGAGCTTGGCCAGACAGGGGCTCCAAGTTAATTTCCTGCTAGCACAGCAGTCTGCTCTGAGCAGTCAAGGGTGGAAATCTCCATGAAAGTCCTGCCAACTGCAGACCTCCCAGTGTGGAGGAGGTGGTCACAGAGCTGACCCCCTTTTATGGGATATTGAGGGAGCATTCTATACCACACAGCAATGCAGATCATTGAACAATTCATGGTTTCTTCCCCAGCAAGACCTCTGTCTTGCTTGAAAATGGTAATACAAGTGGTATAAATGCTTCCTTTCTGTAGAAGCATAGGACATTTGCTATACAAAGAAGATTTCTTTCCTTTCTATTTTCGAAAATTGGAAAGCGTAACCTGAGACATTAATCAACTCAGAGGGAACTGCATTTTATAAATCACTGTTAACTTACCTAAAGTTTGACATGCAATACTTTAAATACCAAGGTGAGAATCATTTAGAATTATGGGACTTCCTTTTAATTCCATTGATGATGCCATTGGTTCTTGAGTTGAGAGCAGGCACTTCTTTTCCAGCTGTAGAAGAATTACAGCCAAATAATTACAGTGGAATTACAGCTGCCAGTGGCTTGTGAAAATATGTGTCAAGTCTATAACAAGTCCAAAAGCCCCATCAGAACCTCATTCCTAGGTAGAAAAAAGACTGGAAGGAAATGTGCTCAGATGTTCAGAACAGTGAAAAGCCTCTGGGTTTTAGAATTGTGGGTGATTTTTTTTCTCCTTATATTTTCTAGGCTTCGCAAGTGTTCTACACCATGACTTTTATATTATACAATAATATTTTTAAAGCCCATTTCCTTCCTTAAAAAGGCTTTGTGTGACACCTGTAACAGAAAGAGGAGACTGGCAGAATGGCAACAGCCAAGCTAAGGAAAACTCTTCTTGCTTGCCTTGGGTGGTTCCCAAGATAGGAAGATACATTCATGGAGCTGGTTGGATTTTTCTGACACTTGGGCCATAGGGAAGTCACAGCAGGCTTTTCTGGGGAACTTCATTAAGTCTGTAAGGGTAGGAAGGCAGGATTCCTTGTCTAAATTCAGGTGACTTGGTAGAAGTACGAGCCTGGAGGCAAAACTGTCAAATAAGTGCTATGTGTCAGAGTATGCCTGCCCTCACTCTTATCCTTTGTCCCTTTCTTGTTAGCATCTAGTGTCATCCGGTTCTATAATAGGTATTACAGAAAGTTCAATGTTAGCTTAGAAAGTTTAAACCTTTCTTCCCTTCTGGGAATATTTATATTTTAGCATAAAACTCTGAAGCATAGCTGTAGGTATGCGTCCAAGGCTTCTGCTCCAAGACCGTTTAGCTCTCTCTGCCATAAAGACATGCCCAATATTTCAGAGGGAAGAAGTAAGAAACGAAGGCTTGGCATGTTGGAGTATTAAATCTGGAAAGACCTCTATGTCGTGGTAGCTTTCATTTCACAGACAGGAAACAGGCCGGAAAGAGCCACAAATAACTCGGCCAGAGTTGCATAGTACATAACAGACCCCAGTCTTGAACCCATGTCCTCAGTCTGTCTCTAACCCAGATAAATATTCCTGAAACACGCCTTAAAATAAAATTTGAAAGTCTTTTTTGAGATATAATTCACATCCTATGCAATTCACCCATTTAAAATGCATGGTTAAATAGCTTTTGGTATATTCACGGAATTGTGTAACCATCACCACAATTAATTTTAGAGCATTTTCATTGCCCCAGAAAGAAACCTTGTACCTCTTAGCCATCACTCCCTCTGCCCCCAGCCATAGGCAACCCCTAATCTACTTTCTATCTCTATTAGATTATGGATTTCTCTATTCTGGACATTTTACAGCAGTAGACTCATGTAATATCGGTTCCTTTGTGACTGACTTATTTCACGTAGCCTAATGTTTCCAAGGTTCATCTGTGTTGAGGCACGTATCAATACTTTATTTTCCTTGCTGGATAATATTCTATTATAAAAATATGTCACATTTTCTTTATCCATTTATCAGTTGATAACATTTGGGTTATTTCCACTTTTTGACTTATGAATAATGCTGCTATGAACATTCATATACACGTTTGTGTTGACACGTCATAATTTCTCTTGTGTATATATGTAGGAGTGGAATTTCTAGGTCATATGAGAACTTTATGTTTAGCTTTTGAAGCACTGCTAAAGGTTCCAGAGCACTGCCCCATTTTACATTCCCACCAGCGGTGCGTCGGGTCCCAGTTTCTCCATATCCTCACCAACATTGTCTTTTTGACTATAGTCATCCTAGTGGTTGTACAGGGGTATCTCATCGTGTTTTTAACACAGTCTTTAAAAAAACATATGTGCTAGGCTGGGCGCAATGGCTCATGCCTGTAATCCCAGCACTTTGGGAGGCTGAGGCAGATGGATCACCTGAGGTCAGGAGTTTGAGACCAGCCTGGCCAACATGGTGAAACCCCGTCTCAACTAAAAATACAAAAATTAGCTGGGTGTGGTGGCAGGCCCCTGTAATCCCAGCTACTCAGCAGGCTGAGACAGGAGAATCACTTGAACCCAAGAGGCGGAGGTTGCAGTGAGCCGAGATTGCACCACTGCACTGCAGCTTGGGCAACAGAGCAAGACTCTGTCTCAAAAAACAAAACAAAACAAAACATGTGCTGAGAAACCTTCAGCACTTACGTACTGCATTTGGAAGGCCTTAACTCTTTAGTTTAGTACTCTAGTCCTTGTAAGATTTCCACAGTCTGCACATCTTTTCTGCCAGCCGCCTCAGCACACAGGCCAACCAGATCTCCTGACGGCCTTCCCCGTGCAGTTTCACAAGGCTAGAATCCCTTCTGCCTGCCTGGCTGTTCTTGAAATTACATTTGGATGGCAAAGAACTCAGACGGGATGAGGAATTGGGGTTTCCAGAACAAAACTGGAAAAAAAAAAGAAAAGAAAAGAAAAGAGTTGCCTCTTTTAAGGCTGGGGCCAGAAATGACCTTGTATAGCCAAAGGGGTGGTAGGGCTGCCAGAACGTGCAGTTGAAGGTTTCAGGGCTTGGCCACTTCCTCCCAGAGCTATGCATGGCAAGTGATAAGAGGACAGCCCCGCTGTGGACTCAGCAAAGCCAGAGCAGGAAGTGAGACCTAGGTTCCAACTCGAAATGTTTGCTTTCTTTTTCCTTTGCTCCCCTTCCTCAGCAGATTAGTTAACATATGTTTCAGCCTGACCTAAAGTTTTTCTTATACTTTTAGAAGAAACCCACTTAATATACTAACTTGTAATAGACGCCAGTCACCTTTTTTACTTTTTTTTTTTTTTTTTTTGTAGAAAGATGTTTCTCTTCCATGATCTCAAAGTTTCTGGTAACACTTTGGTTTCTATGGAATTGCTGGAATTTGCTGCTATCATGTGCACCCCTATTAATCTAAACCATTGTTTTGAAAATCCTTTACTTAAATGTTCCCTCCTTGAATCCCCTTATAAATAAAAACAGCTTATGTTGGTTCGATGGTTTGATGGGCTGTTTACTCTTCTGGAATATTGTTGAAGCATTTTAAATCCAAAATGTCCTCTTTATTTAGTTTGCCTCAATGTCTAGGCGCACCATCTTGACTGCAGACGCAGACCTCAAATGAACTCCTGCCTCCGGAGGTGCCCATTTCCCTTATCAAGGCAGGACATTCGGCTCAGAAATTGCTCAGTTTGCCTTTTTTTTTTTTTTTTTTTTTGAGACAGAGCCTCACTCTGTCACCCAGGCTGGAGTGCAGTGGTGCCTATCTTGGTCCACTGCAAACTCCACCTCCAGGTTAAGCAATTCTCCTGCCTCAGCCTCCCGAGTAGCTGGGACTACAGGCACATGCCACCATGCCTGGCTATTTTTGTATTTTTAATAGAGGACAGGGTTTCACTGTGTTGACCGGCCCGTCCGAACTCCTGACCTCAGGTGATCCACCTGCCTCACCTCCCCAAAGTGCTGGGATTACCAGCGCGTAGCCACCGTGCCTGGCCTAAATATTCTCAGTTTCTAACAGGTTCTTGGCAGCTCCTCTTCTCCAAACTTGAAATTACTGGCCAACAGTATATAAATCATCTGCAGAAAGAGCAACAAACACTGACCTTTCACAATAGGAAGATTTATTTAAGTTTTGACTAAATCTTTTGTAGCCTAGAGGATAATGAATGGAGAGAAAGTAGATTCCCTGTTTCAGAGTCCTGGGTTAAAATGTAAAATGAGCAATAATATATCATAATATATACATAGTGTGGGTGTATATATATGTTGTGTGTGTTATATATATGGCTTGTGTATATATTTGTTTGTGTGTATATATGGTGTTGTGTGTGTGTTATATATATATATTTTAAGTCAGA